GAACCAAAGACACATGAAACAATTATTCAAAAGGACTACGTGAACCTCAGCCTCTGTAATGCTGAGATAAGAACTAGATGGTGCACAGCTCCTGCTGCCGACCACTCTGAAAGGGATCACAATAAAAGATCCTAGATAGAATGGGAGAGAAATATGGAACAAAACTCAAAATCATTAAAAAAAAAAAAAAAGGCCAGGCTTACTTGTCTGATAGAGACTGGTGAAAGCCCCTAGACTATGGCTCTTAGTCACCCTTCCAACCTGGAACTCAACTCATCCTGGTAGGTCAACTTTCAGCCAAACCATAGACAGGCATATGAGGTGAACAATAACATTAGGGAGGTGGAACTCCTTAGGCAATCAACCAGATGAGAGCAAAAGGGCCATTTGCCAGGGACAAAACCCAGAGGCAAGAAGGGGTAGGAAAGAAGGACCGATGGCGATGGTAACAGATGGTAACACAGGGAGGAAGTGTTGTGACACTGTGGGAGTTACCATCAATGTCACAAAACAAAATGTGTATGAATTGCTGAATGGAAAACCAATTTTCTCTGTAAATTCTCACTCAAATCACAATAAAATGTTTAAAAAGGAAAAAGAAAGAAAGAAAGAAAAGAAGAATGCATTGGAATAATTGTAGTTCACTGGAACTTTACATACAGTCAATGTCATCCTTAAAGCAAGGAGGTTGGAACCTATGGTGTGAGTTAGGATGAACCCCATGGTGGGGAGGAGATACCCAGCTAGTCCTTGGCAATGTGGAAAAACACTTCATTATCTGTTCTCTAGCCAGTGCAGGGGTTCTGCTGATTAGGGTGGGCAGGCAACAAAAAGTCTTGGATAATGGAAAACTACACAATGTATTATGTTACTCTCACTTAAATCCTCTAAATTGCAGGAAAAACAATCTTCAAAGGAATCATAAAGCACATGAAGAGGCAACTTGAGGGGATGCTTATCGGAGATAAATCACCAAGTTCTCAACGGCTGGGTTTTGAATCAAAACCTAAGTGAAGAGGGATATTCTCAAAGTCACAGGCGCCCATCTGCAGGCTCGGAAAAAAAGGATGAAAAATAAACAGAATGAGCAAGTCGCGCACTTGGCTGAGGCCCACAAGTTTGCAGATCTACCACTTCTCTGAGGGGCACATTTGATGGCAGAGAGGAAGGAAGACGGAGGAATGTTGGCAGACTTTAGAGGAGAGGGACATTCCTGAGTGTCCTCTTCAGAGGGAACATACAGTCATCATTCCTCCTTGTGACCTTTCATCACAGCTGAAGGGAACGAGGAAACTAGCAGAGGGAGAGACAACGCCTAGTCAACAACACGCAGAAGAAAACGAGGACAATTACAAACCAGGAGACCACCTCCTACCCCTTTACTAGTTCACGAGTATTTTCTCTACTTCTCTAACCATGTCCACTCTATGAGGACTTTTATTTTGTAGGTGATGGATATTTAAATGTCAAGGAGAGAGATTATGATGAAATGATCCATGTTCTGGCCCAGTAGAAACACAAGATCTTCTTAGCTTTGGGTGGGTTTGTTTTGTTTTAATTTTCAAACACAGAGCACAAAAACTGAAGCTAAAGCCCCTCCAGATCATAGCCTGCTGGGGGATAAATGACCAGGAAAGACAGTGTCCTTGACTCCGCACTCCTTGTTGGTCCTCGGCAGGGTGATGGAGAAGCTGAAGCATTAGCTTCAGTTCTGTGGATGTGAGTGCTTTTCTAGTCATTACGGCTCTGTCACAAAGTACCCAAACCTCAATGGTAAGAAATAACTACTTATGAAGCTCAAGGATTTGTGGGTCAGAAATTCAGACAACAGAGACAGCCAGTCCTCAGCTGGGAGGCTTGAAGGCTGGGAGTTTGAATCATCTGAGGGCTCGTTCATCACTTATCAGCAGTTGGCATTGGCTGTTGGCTAGGAGGCCTCAGTTTCTTACTACGTAGGTCTCTCCATGCGATCTCTCCAGGTGGCTAATTTGGGCTTCCTCACAGCATGGAGGAGGTGCTCAGAGGACAAGTGGCTGAGGAGGGTGAGGCAAGTGGAAGCCTGGGCAGCTCTGACGGCCTCTCCTCCCAGTCACTCACCATCATTTCTGCTGCAGTCTATTTCAGAAGCGGGTCATTAAGGCCAGAGGGGTGAGGAGAGGTGGGTATTCAACTCCACCTTATATGGCAGGAGCGTCAAAGCATTTGTGGACATGTTTTAAATCTACCAAAGTGCCCTGAGGAATGAGAAGGGGTGAACCCAGGGCCTCACACACCTTAGTCCTCCTCCACATTGTGAATCCCTGCTACACCTGGGGCTCCCAGGAGAGGCCAACTCCAAAGTTTTCATCCATGTTGACAGGTAGGTAGTGGCTGCGAGGGAGGTGCCCAATGCACATGAAATGCTACCTCCCTCTTTCCTATATCACCTATCCCTTTGGTCAGGGAACTCTGGTAAGGGGTGGGGAGGGGTTTGGAGGGCTCCTTAATGTCTTCAAAGGTCAGTGGTCCGGGGCCTAGTCTATGGGACGCATTCACTCATTCATTCCACAGATCTTTCTAAAGCACTCCCAAGGTGATAAGACATGAGCCGTGAGTGCAAACAGTTAAGTCCTGAGCCTGTTAAGCACTGGGCTACTTAATCCAAAGATTGATGGTTCGAATGCACCCAGAGGTGCCACAAAAGCTATCTGCTATCTGCTTCCAGAAGGTCACAGCCATGAAAGCCCTATGGAGCACAGTTATGACACACATGGGGTTACAATGAGTCACCGCCATGAGTCAGGTGCCATGGGTCAGAACTAACTTGGCCTCTGATTTGGTTTTTAAGTTTTCAGGTGCTATTATGGATTGAATTGCATCCGCCAAAATATGTGTCTCTCAGTATTGTGTGGTTGCCCTTCATTTTGTGAACTGATGTAATTATCCACCATTTTGTGCTTTGTGTTGTAATTCCTAACCTCTAGATGTTAATGGAGGAGATCTGGTGGCGTAGTGCCTAAGGCATTTGACTGCTAACCAGAAGGCTGGCGGTTCAAACCCACTAGCTGCTCCTCAGAAGGAAGATTGGGCAATCTACTTCTGTAAAGATTTACTGCCTCAGAAACACAAGGAGGGGTTGCTGTGAGTTGGATCCAACTCCACAGCAATGAGTTTGTTTTTTTTTTTTTTTTTTGGTTTAGATATTAATGGTGGTGTAGTGGTTAAAATATTCGCTTGCTAATTGCAAAGTTGGTGGTTTAAACCCACCAGCCACTCAGTGGGAGAAAGATGAGGCAGACTGCTTCCATAAAGATGACAGCCTTGGGAACCCTATGGGACAGTTCTACTTTGTCCTCTTGGGGCTCTGTGAGTCAGAATCAACTCCATAGCAGTGGATTAGGTCTGGTGGTTTCTGATATGCTAATGAGGCAGGATTAGGGTGGGTTGTTCTTGAATCACAGCCTAACAAAGTGTTATAATGGGTGTCTTGAGTCTCCTCCTTACTCAAGCACTCGTCACGCCCTTACTCAAGTCACACCTTTTCTCTTAAAAGACATTAAGGGAGAGAGAAACAAGTGAAAATAGGGATCTGAGTACCACGAAGAAAGAAGAACCCAGATTGAAACATGTTCTTTGGACCTGGGATCCCTGTGCTAAGAACCTCCTAGACTCTGCAGAAGACTGATGCCAAGACACAGGAGCCCTCCAAGGAGCCAGGAAGCAGACGCTGAAGAGACAAGGAACTTCCTCCAGAGCTGACAGAAAGAGAATGCCTTCCCCTAGAGTCCTCAAACCCATACTCACTGCCGTCAAGTCGGACTCGAAGCATAGGGACCCCTCCTTGTGTTTCCGAGACAGTATCCTATGGAAGTAGATTGCCCAACCTTCCTTCCAAGGAGCGGCTGGTGGGTTTGAACCACGAGCCTTCTGTTTAGCAGTCAGATGCCTTAGGCACTAGGCCCCCAGAGCTCCCCTTAGAGCCCTAGAGCTCTGCATTCCGACTTCTGACTCCTGAACTGCGAGCAAATACATGTGTTTGTTAAAGCCATACACTTGCGGTATTTCTTTTCCAGCTGCACAGGTAATCAACACAGGTGCCAGGACACAAGGCTCAGCACTGATGACACAGGGAGGAGCGAAGCAGCCACCCTCCTCCGAAAAGTGGACAGAGCCGCCCACGAGTGGAACTGAGAAAGGCCCTGAAGGACAGGAAGGAAGCCAATGTCCACCGCGTTGTCAGCTTGTTGAATGAATGGGCTTACCCTTCAGCGAGAGGAACCTGACCTGCACTGGAGCCAGTCCACCTGGGCAGGAGCCGGACCGAGGACGTCGAGGCCTGGGCTCCTTCTTGACTTTGTCCCACACTCCGCACTTCTCCGGAGGGGTGTGGAGAGGCTGAGCTGCCCCTGAGTCACTAGTGGAAAGTCCGCCTGGAGTTGGGCAGGCTGGCGGGCTCCCGCGCAAGGGGAAGGTGTCAGTGCACTCTGAGAAATCAAGTTCTTTCCCTGGGACCCTGAGATCAAAGAGAACACCCTGGATGCGCGGCCTTTCATCACCTCTTGCTGCCAGCGGACTGGGGGCTGCTGCTCGGGGCAGGAGGTCCGAGCGCGCGCTCGCCTGTGCGCGCGCGCGCGGCCTGCAGCAGCTGCCTCAGCCCCCACC